CCTCATATCCTAGGCTATCATGATGCAGACTGGTTATTAAACCATTGGATTAGAAGGGAAAAAATAGGCCCTGTAGGGCTTAATATCTTACCTCTCTGTATCCCATCACTTATGAAAGGGTCCTGGAAAAGAACTAAAATGCACAATTGAAGAAAGTGTGATAAAAGATTAAGAGGGCCTTGGCAAAGTAAGTAAATTGAACTGTAGTAATGTGTCATGGTCAGGAAAGACTGCTAATATATTTTACCTTAGGTTCAAAGGGGAGACACTGCTTTTGAGAAACCTCATGATGGAAAGCACACAACCAATAAGAAAGTGGAGGGGCTGGAGTGCATTTTGACCCAGTGAAACTTTGGGCTGATATGGATTTGTGTGGACAATGCTTTATGCTATTATTGAGACCCAAATTGTGATCGACCTAAAAAAGATCGGTAGATTTTATTAATACAAAGAATTACAGGGCTTCAGCCAAAGCAGTGGTTAGAGGGATATTTATAGTTGTAAATCCTATATGGAAAAAAAAATCATAAATCAGTAAGCTAACCTTCCAATAGAAAAAGAAGACCAAACGAAGCATTAAGCAGGCAGGAGGAAGGAAATAATAATTAGAGTGGAAATTAATAAAAGAGAGAATAGACAATATTAATTAAACCAAAAATTGGTTCTTTGAAAGGATCAACAAAATTGACAAAGCTTTAGCTGAACCAACTGAGAAAAAAGAGGGAAGACTAATTACTAAAGTCAGGAATGAAAGAGGGGACATTGTAGAAACAAAAACGGACTTTAAGTGAATACTATGGACCAAGTAGATAACTTGGGTGATAATGGGTGATAACTTGGGTGATAATGGACAAATTCCTATAAGATGCAAAGTACTGCAACTGACTCAAGAAGAAAGAGAATATCTAAACAGACCTATGACAAAGAGATTGAATTAATAATAAGAGATTGAATTAATAATAAGTTGGGCTATTATCAAGTGAATTTGATTATACAATGTCTATTATATTCTTATGTTATAAAAAATCAGGAATCTGAAAGTAAAAATGTGGGTTTCTTTTTCAAAACTGTATTTTAATTCTTGAATTCTCTTGCGGAGCATTAGTAACAAGATACTGGAAAATAAAGAATTTGAGAAGATGAGACAGAAGAAATAAGAAAAGAAAAAATTTAATTATAGGAAATTGGAATTTAAAAATCCATAAACAAGAAGAATGTTTCTTGTACCAAAGAGGAAGAAAAGGCATAGTTGGAACTGCAAAATTTCTTTAGCATGTACAGATACCAAATGTCATCACATTTCTTGCTTGTCTGCTTACTTTTAGCTACATGTATGTTTTCTATCATCAGGCAACTCTCACTGTGCCCAGTGTGAGCCTCCCTCATCCTAATTTGGCAGCCCCTGGGTCTTTCTTCTATCTGTATGAAACACCGACTTAAAGAACTCTAGCGAACTCTTATTACTTGGTTGGCATCCAGGACTATGGGTGGATTAATGGAAACATGGCCAGTTAGAGGGTGTAAAGTTTATTTAATGGCAAAGGATAAGGGGAATTCGGAGACTATTCCATAATGCAGAAGATAACACAGCCTGCACCCAGTTACAGCTTCCTCTCTGCTGGGAGTTAGCTAGCGCTGTGGATAATACCAGGTGTGGAAAGTGAATGATTGCATCAGTATGAGAGAATCCCTGGGCCATTCTCATGGATATTTTTAGAAACTTTTTTTGAAGTTTAATATACACTACACACAAATGCATGTATTATATATATTGAGCTTGATACATTTTTTGCAAACTGAACACCTCCAGGGAGTTTTTTACATCTTGTACTCTACCTTGCCTGATGGTTCTGGAAACTCTGGCCTTATTTGCCTGCAAAGCAGAACAACCCAAATGCATTCCTGAGTATTTACTGTGAAACTGGGCATTTCCCAAGCTCATCGCTCAGTTGGCCCACACTTCAAGCCTGTTTAGAACACATTCCTACACCCACCTTTTCTAATTACTTCAGTGCCTATCATCTCTCTCTCCTTTGAGCTCTTGGTTACTCTCAACTAAACATTTGAATAATCGTTGACTCACTAACTGAGTCACACCTATTCTGTTCCCACTGGATTGTATTTGTAGAGCATGTATTGCTTATTATTTAACTGAAAAGTTAGTTTTCCTTTAAATATACCACTTAAAATTGTTTTCTATATTCCCTAAGAAGCATTATTACAAGGAACAAAACTAGAAATTAATGATAAAACAGGATTAATTATTGACCACAGTTACATAATTAGAGCAAAAAATGTATAAAGTGTTCAAATCTTTAATGTTCCAAGTCAACGTTCCAATTATTTGACACTCTGTCCTATGTAGTAGGATAACCAGTTCACTCATGTGATCAAAAATCTCTATAAATTCTTAAAATGTTTCTCTAATATATTGCCAAGATATTTTAATTAACATCTCCCAAATTGCAAATTCACAGACTAGAGACCAGCTACAATAAAGCTTCCCTCTTTGAAACTGCCTGTCCTGCAAAACTGACCATACTGGGCTTGAGATCTCCATGCTAAATTACTGGCCTGTGTAGTCAGGGGTTTCTTTTACATATTTTACTTGAAGAATATTATAACCAATCTTACCCATCAAATTAGTGAAAATTAAAAAAAAAATTACTCAAGTCTGTCAAGAATGTGGAGAGACAGGCACCACCATATGTTGCTGAGAGGTGAAACCATACAGCCTCTCTGAAAAGCAATATGGCAATATTTATTAAGACTATTTGCACCCTTATGCCCAGTAATTCCATTTCTATCTAACAATTTCCTTAGCAAATTTCATTAAATATTTATGTACAATGTCATTGAATCCAGTATTATCTATAATAAGCACAAAAATATTGAAACAACTGGGAAAATGTTAAATAAATTATGGTATGTTTCTGGGGCTGTGGACCATTAGGCAGAAACAGTAATTACACTACTGAGAAATTTTAGATGTGGAAAATGCTCAGGATAGAAGTTTAAGTTGAAAAAGGTAGTTTGCAGCTCCTTTTGTAAAATTATTGATATTATTATTCATGAAAGACTGAAAGTAAATGTTATATCTGAATGGCTTATTTTTGAGTGGTGTGATTATTAGTTGTTTTTCTTATTTATAGTTTCTATATTTCCTAGAGAGAGCTCTATTATTTATACAATCAAAAAGTTACTTTTAGAAAAATACTGTTTTGGCAGTACTTTGGCCTGTAATTAGGTTTCAAAGTGTCAGTCATAATGCACTCGTTAATCAATTTAAAAATCACAGGAACATCTCAAAATCATGAATTTTGATCTCCTCTTTTCCCTTTGTCTTTTTCATTACAAATCTTCAGCGAATCTCAATTTCATGTTTAAATTTGAGTATTTTAGGTTATTACTCTTCATATGTGTGACTTTGGTTTCCTCCGGTGTGTAATTTTTTTAATGTTTCCTCGCTGAAGAAAACTCTTTGTACCTTTGATTTTAATCTGAACATGGTTCAATACTGTGACGTGCACTTAGTTCGTAAGTGTTAGCACGCCTAGGAACTTTTTTCTGGTCAATTTTTTAATCTCAAAAGGGACTGACAAAACCAGTTTGTAATCAATTACACGTGGAAACCACGGTGTAAGCTCCACTTGAGCTTAGGAGGCGCTCGGAAACGCTATAAGAAATGCACATAGTGTTCAGGTGATAGCAGGATATCCTTTCCAGCAGCCTGCCCTGGAAAGACAGATTTGGGTAACCTGAGCACAAAGGCGATGGCAGAAGTCATGAACCACTCAGGTCAGAGCTGGCCGAAACAGAAAAGACCAATCAGGGAGGTCACAGAATAGAGCAGGATAAAGAAATACAGCAGAGGAAGGAGGCTCAAAAACTTTGAGCTGTAGTAACTGGAGAGTTAAAGGGGGCGTTGTATAATGCCCCCTTTAAAATCACATTTCAGGCACTCGCTAGACCTTGAGACCTCAGCCTCCGCAACCAGAAAAAAAATTTCAACTAAAGGTTCTTCCCAAACCCGGACTCATTTTAACCCTAGAGCCAGGTTTTAGTAACCTCGCCATCAGAAAGCGGAAGGGCGCGCATGCGCCGCTGCGCAGGCCGCCTCCCGGGGGGGCGGGGCCTTCCTTTTGCCTTAGGACGTCCGCCGGCGTCGGCCCCGCCCGCTTCACCTGCGCGTCACGTGCCCTGCGCCGCTCGCCGGCGTCTGAACGCTGATCCCGGCCGTCGTGGGTTTTCGAGGTGAAAGGGGCAGTGCCCATGAGCCCGTTTAACAGCGGCGGAGGCAGGTGGGGGAATTTGACTGGGGTCAGCCCGCCGAGCTTCCCCGATTGAGGTGTCTAAACCCTCCGTTTCTCGGCGTCAGGTTCTAAGCGCGCGACAGGGACCTGCTGAGACCTTGACCAGAGCGATGCACGGTTTTGCGGCCTCGGTCTGGGAGCCGGGCGGCGCCTCCCGGCGGGGCGTGAAAGCCCCAGCTGGCTTCCACCCCTCCCCCCCCCAGCCCGAGCGCCGGTCCCCGCGCCCCGGAAGGCCCTGCTCCCCGCCGGCCGCGCTCCTGCCGCGGGTCGCTCGGTCCGCTGGGGCCTGGTTGGCTCTCAGAGTTGGGCAAATCCTTGGTCCCCGCGTGGGCGCGGTGGGAGTAGGTCTCGAGCTTTATGTTGGAGGATTCTTGGCACATTTCGGGTTTGCCTTGCATTAGATGGGTGCGTGTGTTCACACTGGCGAGTTGATCCGGGATATGACCGGAAATTGAGTGTTCGGCTTGAAGGCTGAGGTTTAAGTGGACGCCCACACCAGGTAGGGGTAGACTTGAGAGCGCGTTTCAAAACAAAGAGTTCAGCTGATTGCGTCTCTGTCCTTGCGACTCGAGTGCCTCGAACTGCAAAGGGAGCCGAGCGCCACAAGGGTGAGGAAGTTTGTTTGGAAAATTACCCGTATGCACTTGCACAGTTGGGATTTGGGAGTTCCCCAGAAAGCACCTCCTGATGGCGTTTGTTTCCAATGCAATACCTTAGGCCGTAATCTACCAGGGTTTTTGGTGGTTGGTTGGTTGGTTTTTTTAGACTTCATTGAAGTTTGTTTGAAAAAAGAAGCTGAACTTTTGGGATAAGATAAATGTTGGAAAAGGCTCGCTCCATCTATTTGGAAAGATTTCTGTAAATAATACTAGAACAAGGTATTATGAATTTTACAATTCAAAGTTAACGCCTGTCCCTTCAGGGCTGATTATTGCCTCGTTCTACACCATTTTTCCACTGTCAGATTATTTTTCTTTTTTCTTTTCTCTTCTTTTTTTTTTTTTTAGTATTATTAGCTTTATTTTTAGTTATCCAGTCATTTAGTATTATATTCACATATAATGTTTAAAGCCTAGAACTGGATTTGGGGAAAAATGTTAATGCAGCAAATATTTATTTGACCACATTAGGTGCCGATACTGTTTTACGTTTTACGTGTTGTGGATACAGAAATGAGCGAAACAGACCCGATCTTTGTTGGTTTGTGCTTACCTTCTAGTGAGGGGAGACAAGTAATAAATATGTCAGAGGGTGGTAATTGCTACACTGAGGATTAAAATAGGGTGATGTGCTAGCCTGTAGAGGGGCTACTTTAGACTGGGAAACTCTCTCTGAGGAAGGACACTGAAATTGAAATCGAAATGTAAAATTAGATCCCAAAAGCAGGGGATAAGCATAAGAAAACCACTTCGTGAAGATCTTAGGTGTAATCCTTCTGACTAGGGAGGCTGGAAAGAGGGAGGGTGAGGGAAAGTGGAAGGCGTTGTGGTCTGAGAAGTAGGCAAGCAAGAGACCGACCATGTAGGGTTTTGTAAGTCTTGGTGAGGAGTTTGGATTTTATTCTAAATTTGTAAATTTGTTCTTAGGTGCAGACAAGCTAAGTCCAATTTTTGCCACTCTTTCTTTTTGGTTTCCTTGATTTATTATATTGATTCTTCACCTCAGATCTTTTATATCTTTTTATTCTTTGTCAGACAAGATGACAAACCATGACGTGATAGCTTTCAACCCTGCCACTTAAATTGTGAATGAAACCTTTTGTTCCTTTTTTATGAGTGAACTATATAATTCTGCCTCTTAAAGGCAGAGCAGTAGCCTTGGCTCCATCCTGTGGAAGGAGCAGCAGAGTTTGTTAAAGTAGTGAAAAATCTTTTAAAGCTGAGATTAGCAGATGTGGAATGAGGCAGTGTTGAGTAGCAGTTAGTTAAGGGAAAGTCTTCAAAGGTGAAATAAATACCCAAGGTTCTGGATGTTCAGTGTCAAATCAGTTTGAAGTTATTTGACTAGGTTCCTTTTCAGGAGTTATGCAGTTTTATTGATATGGCACTGGTGATTGTGATAGTCATCACAGTAGGTTATAGTCTTAAAATGTTTTATTTCTCTCCAAATTATTCTAACCCCTGGTATAATATATTGTCTTTTAAAAATGTGAATGTAGGAGCTTTCCTCGAGCAAGTTAATTGATTTTGGCTCTTTTATATTGATTTGAGTTGCGTTTATTTGATTCCTAGGATGAAGTAACCTTTATCTGTCTAAAAATTGCAGGATATTTTACTTCAAATAAAGAACATGGTGAAACTAATTCACACGTTAGCAGACCATGATGATGATGTCAACTGCTGTGCCTTCTCTTCTTCCCTCTTGGCCACTTGCTCCTTGGACAAAACAATTCGCCTGTACTCCCTGAGTGACTTTAGTGAATTGCCACACTCTCCATTGAAGTTTCACACCTATGCTGTCCACTGCTGCTGTTTCTCCGCTTCAGGACATATTTTGGCTTCATGTTCAACAGATGGTACCACTGTCTTATGGGATACTCAAAACGGACAGACTTTGGCAGTGATGGAACAGCCCAGTGGTAGCCCTGTGAGGGTTTGCCGGTTTTCCCCAGGCTCCACTTGTTTGGTATCAGGGGCAGCTGATGGAACTGTTGTTTTGTGGAATGCACAGTCATACAAGTTATATAGGTAGGAATATTTAAACCACTTTCCGTTTTTAATCCTATTAACAGGTCCACAAAAAAAGGAAAAGAAAAAAAGGCAGAATGTTTTGATGATGTTAAAAAGCAGATAATTTTTAGACATCACAAGGAAAAGTATTTTGACCTATCTTCTGAAGGTCATAAAAACATATGATTCTTGAAGTAGATTTGCTTGGCTCTGAGTGTTTTAAATTTCCAATCGCTCTTTTGTAAAATAAGATTAATCTTGTTAGACTTCCATGGATTTTTTGGGTAAGAGTTAGGCCAAAAAAAAACCCCACAATAGTCTTTTGAATACAATTTAGTAATTTTAGGCTTTATTTTTGTCACTTGTGGCTCAGGTGTTCTCAATAATAAAGTAATGGTAGGTAAATCTCACCTACACAGCTCTTTCCTGACTAGGATTCTTGCTGACCAAGCCCAGAAGAAGGAACCTTGTGATCAGCATGGTGTTGTGTTATCATTTCTTTAAAAAAAAAAAATCACTTAAAAAACTCCTTTTGGATAAAAATACATCAATTAATTTACACTGGTAATGTTGTGTTGCAACTCACCAACATTAAAATCATGCACTTGTATGTATTTATAGCATGGTGAAATATATATAACATCAAACATTTTAACCATTTTAACGTGACATTAAGTACATTAAAAACTGTAAACTTTCAAATGTTACCAATTAAAATAGCTTAATGTACCTTCCTTTCTCCCTACCCCCCAGCATCACTCAGAGCACCAATGGTAGCTGGTAAACAACTGTTACTCATTTAGATTTGGGTCTTTGGATTGAAGAAAGTGATGTGTTTTAAGTGGTGTTAATAGTTTAAAGGGAAAGCACAGGAAGAATGAAATGCCTTTAAGTTATTTTGTGTGAATGAAATACAGCTGTCGGCTAACGAATCTTTTTCACTTATTGGGTGATAAATTCTGCCTCCCTAGCATTATTTCTCTAATGTATGTAATTAATGATATAAAAATGGTACACTGCAGTAGATTTAAGCACTGGCTAGGACACTGCACTAATTGTTGGGTTTTTACCAGTTTTTCCTAATTGAGAAAATAATTAATTTTGTTAGGCCAGTGCTTCCTAATCTTCCCTAGATAATTTTAACTTGTTCACAGCATTTTCTTTACATAAAGAATTGGTATTTGAAGATGGGATGCAAGTTTCTGGGTGATTTTGCTGTTTGTTGTTTCTAGGTTATTTTTTATTTTTATTTTTTATTTATTTATTTTTTTGCGGTACGCGGGCCTCTCACTGTTGCAGCCTCTCCCGTTGCGGAGCACTGGCTCCGGACGCGCAGGCCCAGCGGCCATGGCTCACGGGCCCAGCTGCTCCGCGGCACGTGGGATCTTCACGGACTGGGGCAGGAACCCTTGTCCCCTGCATCGGCAGGCGGACTCTCAACCACTGCACCACCAGGGAAGCCCTCTAGGTGATTTTAATACAAAAGTTGAAAGTACTTTTGACCCCAGTAACATGTTTTTCAATCAAAAAGTTATATCTTTAAAAAAAAAATGTGACTGTAGTTGATATTGTTGGTTGTTATTGCTTTTTTTGTTAAGCTTTGTAGATTTTAACATGTTACTGCTGACTTGCCATATGGAAAAGTATGAAGATATGTCGACTTTGGTTTGGTTAAGATAATGTTTAAATCCTCTTACTTTTAGCAAGCACATAAATGATATTTTATTTCTATAGGCATCTACTGCCTTTTATCTCTAGTTCTATGATAGCCATTTATCCTCTTTTTAGTATATCAAGCTGCTGTTAGAGATTGTAATGTAAAGTAAAAGATGCTCTGAAATGAAAATTCCCTTTTCTTTTGCTTTTATTTCAGATGTGCTAGTGTTGAGGATGGCTCCTTGGTGGCCTGTGCATTTTCTCCTAATGGAAACTTCTTTGTCACTGGCTCCTCGTGTGGAGATTTAACAGTGTGGGATGATAAGATGAGGTGTCTGCATAGTGAAAAAGCACATGATCTTGGAATTACCTGCTGCGATTTTTCTTCACAGCCAGTTTCTGGTTAGTTATTTTACTCTTGTAAGCACTGGTAATTCCCATTTGCAATTTGTATGTGACTTTTCATTCTTACTTTCACTTCATCATTAGTAAAACAACAAGCCCTTTTAATTCATTCCTTTCAAGGAATCATCCTTCTCCTTTAGCTTTTTTGATCAAAATGAAATCACAAATATTTTTTAGGGAAAATCAGGATCTTTGGGAAAATATGTAGGGGCTGACTCAACTTGGTGCAGTAGATCTGGATTCCTTGAGTACGGTAATGTAGAGGCCTTAACCCTGTTGGTTTTACTGTGATTTTTGAAATATTGTATATTGATATTCAAATAGAAATGTGAAATGTAAAAATTGGAAACAAGTTTCATTTTCCGTTTACTAATTTAATCTTTCAAAACATAAATTTATAAAGCATTTGACAATACAATTAGTTTTCAGAAAAAGAAGAAACAAAAACTCCTGAATATAGACTCTTGGTTTTAAATAAATACAGTGAATTGGGAAGTTGTCTTCTTTTATTTTCTATGTTAGGATGAAGTTCTGCTTTTGGCTGCTCCAGTCTTATTGCCAGGCTAGTGCTGTCCCATAGCAATATAATGTGAGCTACATATGCAAATTTAAAAATTTCTAGTAGTAGGTAAAATTAATTTGAACATATTTTACCCTATATATCTAAACTATTATTTCAATAATTGATAGTCAATAAAATATCAGTAAGATATTTTACTATATTTTGGTATGAAGTCTTCGAAATCTAGTGTGCATATTATGTCACATCTCAATTTGTAGTAGTCACACTTCAACTGTTCAGTAGCCATGTGTGGCGAGTTACTACCTTATTGGACAGCTCAGGTCCAGTAGCAGTATGGCTTTGGCACTCCCCTATTTCAAAACCATCAATGGCATATTAAAATATGATTAAGATAAGATAAAATACCAAATCCCAAACACAAAGCCTGTAAGTACCTTCATATTCTGTTTCCCTGCTTCATCCCAAATCACACGGCTTCATGCATTCTCTTGCCACACTGGCCTCCTTTCATTCCTTGAATGTCTCTTAAGATTTTTCCAAGGGTTTTACATGTGGACCCTTCACCTGGTTTACTATTAGTCATCCTTTAGCTTTCAGGTAAAAAAAAAAAAAAAAAAATTACTTCAGGTGAGTTTCGCCTGCTCTTACCTCCTGCACACAGTCTAAAGTATTTTGATACAGTCTTTATTTGCACGCTTTGTTTTTCTTTTAAAATAGGATTTAGTGAAGTATCACAGGCTTTAATTATATAGTTATTTATACGGATTGTGTTTAATGGTGTTTTTCCTGTTAGATTGTAAGCTCCATCGGGTAGGGCCTGGGTCTGTTTTATTTACAGTGCTTGGAATATAATAGGCCTTGAAATGCAGACTGATGAATAAGATTCCTTTTATTGATTTGCTGAAATTTCTGATAATTTATTCTTTTAATATATTGTTTTATGCTGTTTTATTCTAAGAAGACCAGCTTGTAACAGACAAGAACCATTTCTTCCATTCTGTGAGACCTTCTCCAAAATCCTACAGGCACTCAGTGAATCTTCAAAGAGTTATATAAACATAGGGAGATTTAGGTTTCCTTTTTGATTCTAAGTTACCTGAAAAAAAGATTTTCAATTAAAATACCATTTTTATAGTGATATTAGAGTAAAACTAAGGACATCCTTGTTCTATCTTTAGAGGGGTTGCAGCTCATGGGTCCTGGAAAGGTTCACTAAACTAGGCAGAAAATTTGGTGAGATTCTAAAATAAGTTTAATAAATCCTTACCCTGCCGGTAGAGTATATTTCTCAATATACTTCTAATATGTCCCTTCTGTACTTTCTTTAGTTCATTTTCTGTTAAAATAGATATTAACCTTATGTGTAAATTCCCTGAAACAGATCAATATATGCTTTAAAGTGTATAAACCAATAAATGATTATTATAGGAATTTGTGGTAACCATGTATATTCTTAAAAGACAAAGTATGTTATTTTTAACTTGTTATTGTTTAATTTGGTATTTGTTAATATCTGTAAATACTTATGACATATTGAATCTTCTGTCTTTGTGAAATTTTGCTCAAATAAGGAAAAATAATACTGTTTGTGCTGGAGGATGAATGTTCAGTTCTCTCCAGTTTTTAAGTGAAAAGACAGTTTGGATTAGATTATTATTACAATTTAAATATTATTCCTGAAGAAAAGTCTATTTTTAAATATTATATTTGGATCTCAAGGATAGGCATATTTTAAGCTTTATAATTTTACATTGTCCTAGATGAATTCTTACTACTGAAAGAAACTTCTGAATTAACTTAAGGATCTTATTTAGTCTAGAAACAATAGGGAAAAAAGTTTTCTTAACTGAGTCTACTACTTAAATATTTTACTCTTAGCCATTTTTGGGTAAACTGTTTTGCCTTAAAAAGATTTAATGATTATTAGGAATTGCTTACATCCATCAAGATCTTTGAGAAAGGATGCTGTTTGGCTGAACCTGTGCTACAAAAACAAAAGTGCTGTTGAAATGTGGAAGTCCCATGCAGTTAGAAAAACTTTCAGTGAAAAAGAAATTTTAATTTGTTTTATGTTAATAAAGTATATGTGCTTTCAGCAAAACAGAGGGAGTCCATAGGAAGCATTTATTTTACATACCCAGGTGTATAAATTAAATACCATATACTAAATACTTGCAAAACAGGAGTGCATTCTTTTTTTTTTTTTTTATTTATTTATTTTGGCTGCGTTGGGCCTTTGTTGCTGCACACAAGCTTTCTCTAGTTGCGGTGAGCGGGGGCTACTCTTTGTTGCGGTGCATGGGCTTCTCACTGTGTTAGCTTCTCTTGTTGCTGAGCACAGGCTCTAGGCACGCAGGCTTCAGTAGTTGTGGCATGCAGGCTCAGTAGTTGTGGCTCACGGGCTTCGTTGCTCCACGGCATGTGGGATTTTACCGGACCAGGGCTCCAACCCGTGTCCCCTGCATTAGCAGGCAGATTCCTAACCACTGTGCCACCAGGGAAGCCCAGGAGTGCAATCTTAAGGTGGGTAGTAGGTTTCTTAATTGTGTCTTACTGCATATGAGTGCTGAAATTTCCTTTGACCTGTGTTATTAGGTGGAATTCATATAAAATTGAGTTGGTGATACCAATATTTACATTACCCACAGTATTTAGGAACTTATCTAGTGGGTAGATAATGATACACTGAAATTATCTAAGTAAGCATAACTAGCGGTTTTTTTGTAACACCAAATTTAACCGATTACTTTCCCTGATTTGTGTAATATTTTCCACCAAATCTGTTGGACTGAATTGATGTTGTTTTGGATTTATGTAATTCTAGTCTTTGTCTTGATTAAATCAAATGGGGAAACAGTCTCATTCCATGTGAATTAAGACTAAGCTTTTAACAAGTGAACATATCCTAAAAAAGTTAAGTTGGGAGCAATTAAGCATTTAACACTCATCTCATAACTGATTTTTCTTTCTAATTTTTTCCATCAATGCTAACCTCATAGACTCTAAAATTAGGTTGGAGGGTGCCCTAGGCTTCATGGCTCAATATCGGCCCTTGCAACATTGAATTATATTCTTAGTGGAAGGGAAATAAAAAGGTATTTTGTTGTCGCAACTTCAGGGGCTAAAGTCATAATCCTTTGAAGTACCTTGCTTAAAAAAAATTCTTTAACCGACATTTCGTTATATGGTATAAATTAATTAATATAATTAATATTGCTTGTGAATGTGGGTTAAATGAATAGAATTAACAGATCTGAGTTAAGAAATTGAAAATTTTTTGGTTTAAATGTTTTATCAATTCTTGTGTATTTATTTGTAACAAATTTATATTTTTAGGTGGAGAACAAGGTCTTCAGTTCTTTCGACTGGCATCATGTGGTCAGGATTGCCAGATTAAAATTTGGGTTATTTCTTTTACCCATACCTTAGGTATGTATTCAGCTAGTAGTTCTCTAAAATGATTTTTTGTGATTCAGGTAAAATTTATATTTTACTTAATCTTTTTAACTAAAGAATTCTGGATATCTAAAAGTGATTATAAAAAATATATTTTAAGAACTTTTAGTCAAAGTAATACATATACATGATTTAGAAATTATATGCACAATACTGATTATGACCTCACCACTACC